TGCCCCACCCCTCCCCTCCCCTCTCCCCCGCCTCACGCACCACCCTCCTCCCCCTGCCTCTTTCCACCGCCTCCCCTCCCCTTGCCTCTCCCCGCCTCACGCACCGCCCTCCTCCCCCTGCCCCTGCCCTCCTCTCCCCCTGCCCCTACCCTCCCTCCCCTCTCCCCGCCTCACGCACCGCCCTCCTTCCCCTGCCCCTCCCCTACCCTCCCCTCTCACCGCCTCACGCACCGCCCTCCTCCCCCTGCCCCTCCCCCACCGCCTCCCCTCCCCTCCCCCGCACCGCGCGACAGCTAGGTACGAACCCTCGCTGACTTACCTCTCTTTCCAGGTGTCGCACTTTGAGTGGAACTCGATGTCGCTGTGTGATCCAGTGGAGAAGGCGCGCTACTTGAGGAGGAAGGTCTTTGCTCGTGCTCGCAAGGAGCGCCCATGAACTTCGACGCGGCCCTTTCAGGTCTGTAGCCAGGATTGGCTTAGAGGGGGGTCCAAATCAGAGGTGTGCAGGTGACTGCGAGCGCCGAAGATGCGAAACGATGTTAGGGGGGCCGCGGGCATAACCCACCGGGAAAATTTCGAAAATATGCTTTAGAAAGGTGCATTCTGGTGCATTTTAACAGTTTTCTTCCAGTCCCGTTGGATTCGACTTAGGCGAGGTTGACTGTAAACCCTGGAACCTCCTCTGGGTACGGGACTGCCTTTCTTCGGCCGACCGCGCGCAGCGACCTGTGTCCATTAAGGGCGTCGTCTTCCTTGCGAACGTGACATGACATTCGGAATTTTTTTTTTATATGTCATTGGTGCCATCGTCACCTATAACTTCCGTAAACTTCCGAACGAACCCGACTGGAGAATGTTTTTATTATAATTAATTAGCGCTAATGATGTCGACATTTTGCTCAGGTTGATGCGATTCGTTGCAAAGGCCGATGTATATAATCGTAATCGTCACGATTTCGTCGAGTGTAAAATGTGTCTAGGTAGCTTTTCCATCGTGTCAACCGTGTCCTTTCGTATTAATTAACTAATTAAATTTAAAGGTCGAATTTTTTATGTGTTTTATGTGATGTAAGTGATGTAAGTGATGTAAGTGATGTAAGTGATGTAAGTGATGTAAGTGATCACGTGTGACGTGAGTCATGACCAAACTTACCAATATGCTCAAGGTCGTTGCTGGAAAATGTAACGTTGTCATACCTCGGTCTAATTAGAGACTTAGCTCAGGGTGCTGATGTATTCTGCGTATACTCTAAACATGTACATAGAGAGAACATTTTGTATACTGTTCTGTTAGCTAGCTACTTGTCATGCAAACTATAGGTTGTAAAAGTCCGACCATGCCAAATAAATAAATTATGATTGACAAAGGAAATTTTGCTGTGTTTTTCTGCGCTCGCATTTTGTTGTTATTTATTTGTGATCGGTGAAACACGTATCAGTTATTACCGTGTCGCGCTGACCGCCTCGAACTACGAACGCATTAAATTTCAAAAAACCTAGTTTGAAAAAATCGTTTATTTGGAACCGAATTTAATAAAGTGGTGTTGTTTTTGGGCGTGCGTGCGTGTGTGTGTGCGTGCGTGTGTGTGTATATGTTGTGCGTGTTGTGTTTGTGTGTTCATGTTCATATCGTATTCGAGGATAAAGAAGAAACACACAAAGGCGTTTCGTTTGGGCTGACATTGCTCTCATATTTCCCTAGCTGGTACTTTCTGTCTATATCCAGATACGACAACATGCAGATCTGTCGACACGTAAATTATAGACAACTCTTTCCCGAGTCGTAAAGTAATTATGCGCGCTCGCATTCTCGCATGTTTAATTTAGCAGTAGGCCTATTAAATTTGTTATGCTAAAGTAATACACCGTGCTAGCAACTAGAGAGTAACGCCTCTATTATTGCATTGTATTATTGCCATGTATTATTGCTCACTATATATCCAGCGCAGTGGACACCGACAAGTACGCGAACAAAATATGTGCATGGGTTGTTACGCCTGGGAGATGGGAAGCAACGCGGGGTGGTAATGTGACAAAACGCGCGCGTCGAATGCGAAACGAGACACAGCGATCGAAAAACGTTCCCCGTGATCTGGCATCAGCCAGTGTATAATATCGCCCTGAGAGTTCGCAAACGCCGGACGTGATATTTCTTCGGAAGCTACGCGCCATGTGGTTCGTTTCGCTCGTGGCTGTTTTAGCGGCAGCTACGTGGAATTACGCAGGTACGTGACTCTCTACGCGCGCGTTTCTTCTCATTACAAATATTAGCACATGTTTCTGGGATTTTGATGTTCATCGTGCATTGCGAACTGGGATACACACGCGCGCGCGCGCACTCAAACACGCACGCGCACGCAGCCACGCACACACACACAAACACACACATGCAAGAGTTGAGATATAGTAACAGAATGTAACGTAAGAAAACGCAACATCACATAACCGTAACCTGTATCATTAGTATATTAGTTATAGTGATATTTATCTTTTACATTATTCTACATTTTCGCTATAATGTTATCTATCTCTATCTATCTATCTAGCTATCTATCTATCTAGCTATCTATCTATCTGTCTAGCTATCTATCTATCTATCTATCTATCTAATCTATCTATCTATCTAGTCTATCTATCTGTCTGATCTATCTATCTAATCTAACTATCTATCTATCTATTCTATCTATCGAATCTATCTATCTGATGCTATCTTGTCTATCTGTCTTATCTGTCTATCTATCTATTTAGCGCTCTATTTATCTATCTATCTATCTATCTATCTATCCATCTATCTATCTATCTATCCATCCATCCATCTCTCTATCTATCGATCTATCGATCTATCTCTCTCTCTCTCTCTCTCTCTCTCTCTCTCTCTCTCTCTCTCTCTCTCTCTCTCTCTCTCTCTCTCTCTCTCTCTCTCTCTCTCTCTCTCTAGGCCTATATAATATATATAGCGTCTTTTACTTCATAGCAAGTAATATTTCTTTTCATTGCAACACTGTTGTGTTTTCACGTCTATGTGTAATAGACTCAGGGGTGATGTAATACCAGGACTGAATAAAACCAAACATAATTATCTGTAATGTTCGTTATTGAATCGCTATTATAATAATTAATGTTCGTTATTAATTTTATTCGCGCCTGATGATGTATGTGATGTACATAAATGTATAAATGAATTTCATTATCCCTGTTACTATCGCTGGAGTAAAGATTAAGCGTGATCCTTTTTTTTTACATAGTTATCATTCAGTTTTCTTTACACGTATTTTCAGTTGAAGGTTTCCTGATCGAATACGTAGGCTGTTACATGGACAAATTCGAGCCTCAGCGTGCATACGATATAAATAATTTGATGTCTGACATGACACCGATAGCCTGCTCCAACGACTGCTTCAACAGAGGGCTTACCTACGCTGCTCTAGAGAGCTTAGAATGGTGTCAATGCGGCACCAGTTATGGCATGCACGGTCCCGCTCCAGAGTCGGACTGTGAACAAAACCCGTGTGTGGCTGACAGCAGCCAGTATTGCAGCGGATATATGAGATTGGCTACGTACAGAATTTATGGAGGTAAACGCAGCGAGACGAATTTCTACGTAGAAAATCGTCGCCTTCGAGAATTCTCGTTTAATATATATATACATATCAGGAGTAGATAATTCCCTATTATCTACTCCTGATACATATACATATACATACATACATATATATATATATATATA